GTTGTTCCATGTATTGATTTGGACTTGGCATTTTTCTCTCTATACCTAATGTACTCTATATATTTGCTACCGATTTTGTGATGTTCAAGTGTGTATTATTCCTTTCTTGGAGTAATTGGCTGCTTCTTCCACTGTCTCTTTCATTCGGTTTTCCTCTTCCTTTTGCCTTTGTGATTGCTTGAGTGGGAGGCTTTGTCCCTGTAATAACACTGTCACTTTGTGTCCTTTGTGGGTACAACCGAAGTGTGGGCAAATAGTTGTAGTTCTTGGGTCGTTAATTGAGGTGATCAATTTCGGTTAGATTGATAAATTGAACCCGGATTCCACAAATCAAATATCAATTTTCGCTACAGTAAGAATGGGAGACGATATTTTGCCTAAATAGTAGATACATGTAAGAAATATACTAAAGATATGAGCCATAGAATTTCTCTAGATTATAATTTACTTTATGGTTGGAAAAAAGTATAATTTTACGGAAAAGTACAGGTATGCTGCATCAATGTGATTGGAAGGTACCTATACTGTTATGGGGATAAAAAAGCAAGACCTAAGCAAATCACATCCCCATAGCAAGTGAATTAGTGCAAAGATGTTCCGAGTAGCGTGACATTTTCTAAACATAAGAAATATCTCTTGAGCCGACTTTGTAGGTGGGAACCGCCAATTGGTCGTGGTGACTAGATTTGATCATTCTTGCTCGACCGGTGTACACCGAAAGGTTATGAACCATTTTGAAAGACTGTGATTCCGAGCTTCATGGTTTGTTGCTATTTCAGTCAAAAAAGTACAAAATAATGATTTGATAATTGAAAAGTCTTGTGGAACTCACCACATGATTCTTCGAGAGAATCTCGATCCAAAGTACAAAAAGCTCATAAATTTTCCCCCAAAAAATGGATTTCAATTACAATCCACCCGTAAATCCTTAATCTTTAACAAATGGGTAGCCGTAAATCCTTTTCCATGATTGTTTATATAATTAGAATTAGAAAACTGGCCAATATGTGGTAAGGTGAGGTAAGATGCACTCGAGATTAATGTATATTGTCAAGTCCCCCTCTAGTACTGCACATCTAACATGTTATACGGTAGAGAAGTCATAAACTTTTATTTTAATTTGATCGGAAGAATTTTTGACACGAAACCTGCCGTTACGAGTGCTGGAGATGGTGTCGCCTCTTATGAGAATATTGCTTGTCTAGCTCGGATGAGCTAAGATGCGCACTGGCGGACCCAATGGTGGGCCTGGGGGGCACGTGCCCCCCCCAACTTTGCTTTTTTAAGTTCTTTATTTTCTATGATTTGTTTTAAATTTCGAAATCATTATAAGATGTGAAAGGAAATCGAAATATTGCATTCTTAATACCATTTCGAAGTGCTCACAGTCTAGTTTTTTATGTCGTTAACGGTGTGCGGAACGACCAATTATAGCAAATGTTAGGACTTGTCAAAGTAGGTGGTTTAAAATTAGTATTTCGAAAATTTCGATAACATGCTAACTTTAAAAATTCTCCGACGATAGTACGGTAATCGAATCTACAAATCGCTTATATTATCTCAAAACTCGTTTCGAGGACTACATTATAAGCATATCGAAATAGGGGTGGCAATCGAGCCGAGCGGCTCGTCGGCTCAGCCGCTGGGCTCGTCAAAAAGAGCCACGAGTCGCTCGGGCTCTTCAAAAAGATGAGCCCGACCCTACTCGGCTCGTTTTTAAGACGAGCTCTCGTGGGCTCGTAAAAAATATGANGGATATGATATCAAACATTTTCAAAATTTTATATCGGAAAAAGTCATATTCCATGTGATGCTACCAAAAATCGTACCTGCTGACTTCCGAACTTGAGAGTTGAGAATGAACACGAACGAGATCTTTCGATACTTGAAGCAAAGGCGTCGAGGTATGTCCTCGTCGCCCCTCCGATGCTTAAGTCAGCGAGAGAATTTGTAAAAATAGATTATGTTGTAAGTTGTGTGAAAAAACATACCTTCATAATAGTTGGGGATGATGTATTTATATAGGTAGGTGGAGGACTCCTAGTAGGAGTACAATGTTAAGAGTGCAATAGGAGTCCTAGTGCAATTGGAAGTTGTAATGTAATGGGTATCGCATTGCCTGTGTGTTTGGATGGTTGTGGGACTCTGGTGTTGGAACCTTCTTAGAATGGGGTAACACATTTTCATAAGGATTTTACTTCTTAGGATGTCTTAGCACGGAGGGGACTTCGAATGAGTGAAGGGTTGCATGGCTTGAGGTTATGGTAGTGAACTTGAGAGAGTTGCAGGCAGTTGACCCTGAGCCCGATGACTATGAGCCCGAGGAATATCAGAAATTTCTTGCACAGATTTGACACGAACTCCTCGGGTGGTGGTGCTCGGGCTAGGGTACAGGATTGGTATCATCATCATGTAAATTTTGGATGGAAAATTTTTTGGACTTAAATTTTCTATTGTAAAATTTCTCTAACTTTTTTGTAAGTTTGATTGTGCATCCAACTATAATTGTATACGTCGTCACCTAAAGATATGTAGGGCTTTTTGGAATGTCCCACGACTCCCACCATAAATCCTTGTAAATTTTCTGCACGAATATTTTTAGTAGATGAGCCGGACAAATAATATATTTGCTGTTTATATGTTGTTTTCTATACAATGGCAGTAAATTATAATAGAAGACTTTTGGAATCTCAAGATATTCTCGTAATATTCCTTTGCTATTTCCTATGTTTTCTCTGCTTAGGAGTTTCTTTCTTTCTTTTTTTTTTTTTTTT